ACAAAAGGTAGTTTGTGGCAAAGCAAGAAATAGACTCTAGTTCAGTGGTTCCCTTATCCTTTCTCTTGGCTTCAGTGATTCTTCATAATCTTAGTTTTATTCTTGCATTACTGATTTTTCCTTCTCAATCTCCTTGGCTTGGTCCTCTGCTCTTCTTTCTCTGCACCTCCTCCATTGGTGTTCTTCTCATCCAGTCTCATGACTTTTAATGCCAGCTGATAATTTTTGAATTTATTTCTTTAGTCCAACCTGACTCATAAGTTACAGATTCTTGTATCCAACTGCCTACCTGAGATCTCCACTCCATGTCAAATAAATACCTCAAATTCAACCTGTCTAAAATTGATAGATTTTTATTTTCCCTAACAAATGTACTCCTCCCACCGCCTTTCCTATCTCAGTTGATGGTAACACCGTCCTTTCTGTTACTCAGGCCAAAACACCCTGGAATACTCACTGATGCATACAAAAAACATTTGGCTCTGTCGTTAGAAGATATGCAGAATTCAACCAGTTCTTACCACCTCCACTAATACTGCTCTCTTCTGAGTCACTAGAGTGGGTCTTTAAAAATATTACATCAGATCCTGTTACTCTTTTCAAAACTTTGCAGTGATTCTCCATTTTCTTCAGAGTAAAAAATTAAAGACCTTACAATGCAAGATTTTGAGAGGAGTGCTAGGATGACAACATCTTTAAAGTTTCACTCTTGTTGCTAAGTTATTATTTATCATCTGTCTTCCTCACTATAATGTAAACTCTGTGAAGGCAGGAATCTTTGTCTTGTTTTGTTTACTATTATATTTGAAGAACATCAGTGCTTAGCACACAGAAGGTGTTCAGTGAGTATCTGTTGGATTTGAATTCAGGCATTTATTAAATATTTCTTGAGTTCATCATGAATGCCAGACTGGTGCTGGTTACAGCAGATCAGTGTGGTCTCTGCCCTCAAGAAGTTTTCTTGAAGTGGATGCCCACTGTCAGAGATAATGATTCATTTGGTCTTCTGTGTATTCCAAACATCTGTATTTTTTAAATTATCACAGATGATTTTGATACATATCATGTGTTTTGTGTGTCTCACCTCACTGTATAATTAGATTTATTTCCAAGAACATACCATTAGGAAAGTTACTCAGAAGTAACTCGGTCTCTAAAAGTTTGAAAAGAATTCTAAACAGGAAATATTAGGAAAGAGAGACCAAATAAACAGTCTAGGAAATATATGTTGCACAAACACCTCTTTCATGTTAAATTATTCTAGTTTCCAATAATCTTATCTCTCAGATCTAATGGTTTAAGGGATCTAGACTATCTCTTTTCCATATCTGGCTCTTTGCAGCTACTTTCACATTGTTTGACCTATCTTGGACTGGCAGAAATATGTAAGAATCAGGAGGATTAAGTTATTTTCCCAACAGTGAAAATGACTGAGTTGGTAGCTTCCTTGGAGCTTAGATTCCTTATCTTTAAAATGAAAGTTTAGACTAAATTAAACTAAGCTCTCTCTTACTCTGATATTCTGGGATTCTGATTTCACTTTCTGATTTCACTTTAATAGTGATAGAAATAATACTCTTATTGATACAGTTTTGAAGGAAAAAATCGTTCTTCCCATTATAGAAATCTCCAGTGTTTCTAGGTTAATATACTATAAATAAAAGTCATGCATTTAAAATATAATTTTAAGTTATTTTCTCTTTTTTGCTAATTGTAGTTTGAAAGACTAACATGGCTCTTTGGAAAATTCAGTCAACAAAGAAACCATATTTCTGGTTACATTTCAGAACAATAACGGGAAAAAAATACTTTCACAATAATTCTCATTATTTCTCACCCAGTATACTTTAAGGCTATGATAGATTCCCATCATTAACATGGTTTACTATGAGAGTGTGGGCTACCTATCAGACTCTCTGGGATAGAAGAGGATGTGATGTGGAGGTGAGGAGGATATATCTATAATTTGAAAAGGCTCCCAAATGATTCTGATATCTACTATCATAGCTCCCCCTATTCTGCCACCATTTGAGAATCACTCTTTTGAAAATTAAACAGATACTCATACACATTAACTAATTCAAGGCCATCACTTTATCTGCATTACAGTATAAAGAACTACTTTATTTAGGTGTGTATATTCTTCATGCATTGCATTGCACATTACCTAAATTCAGAAGATAATTTATATGTACTACATTACTGTCTGCCACGAAAAGCATGAAGAGGAGAATAACTAACACATTCCATTGAATAGTTTATGCCAACTGTATTCTAAACAATGATATGTCTACTTCAGATAAGTGTTTCTTTGGAATCTAAACAAAGAATATAACCACTGTGTAGATAAATCATGTTATTTTTCAAATAGACAGTGTGCCTTTTGAATACTCCCACAATCTCTAGTTTTTACTCCAACTAGGATAAATGAGGAAATGTGCAGCAAATATTTTTAAGATGAAAATTTCAGTCTTTTATAAGATTCCTGACAATAACTTCATGAAAATGGTACAGAAAATTAAAAGTGTATACCCTGGAGTCAGAGTCAGGATTACAGCTCTACCACTTATTAGCTCTGTAGTCTTGGGCAAATTACTTAATCTCTGTAGGTCTCAGCTGCATCACCTTTAAAATGGGGATAATAATCATACTTACCTCAGTGTTGTGTTTTGGATTATGAGCCAGTGTATATAAACCCATTAGCACAGTGCCTAACTACTAAGCCATTTTGTCAGAAGTAAACCCTAGAAAAGGTGGTAGTTCGTGTCTTTTTTTTTTTTTTTTTTTTTTTAAAACTAAAAACCTATTACAATCTGTAGTAATAAAAGCTTTGCAAAAATGAGGCTTTTATTCACTAATTTATATGAGTTGATCCCAAATCCTGGTCATTTATTAGCTATTCAACCTTCAAATAGTCTTTGGTTGCTTGCCACAAATATTAATTTTACTCTGGTGAGAAGATGTTTTTAGTTTATTATATCCATTAAAATTTTTTTTCTAGCAGAAAAAATAAAATTTCTGCATAACGAAGTGAATCGAATTGCAAATAGTGGTTCTCAAGCTTTCATGTACATGTGAATTACTTGCAGAGAGAAGCTCAAATTTTCAGGCCTAGTACCCCCATCATCTGAAGTAAGCCCCAGGAATCTTCATTTTTACCCTCTCCTCTCCCAGTTGGTTTTAATGGAAGTGGATCTTAGGGCCACACTTTCAGAAACATTTATTCACAGAATAGCATGAGAATGGCAATCAGAAGACAATGGTTATGAATCTAGCATTGCCATAGAATCTAGTTTTGCATGCTGATGATTTAACTTATACTATGAGAACATGAGAGTCTACATCAAGTATGTCGAGCTTTTTGAAAGTCAGAATATAAATTAAGGAGTTCTGTATGTTCAAAGACAGCCTGATAAGGAGCAAAATTCATGAGGCTAGGAATCATAAGACTAGATATCTAGTCCCAGCTCTGACACTTTAAAGTCTAACGATTTGCTAAGTTATATAATGTCTGTGAAACTTAGTTTCTCCATCTTTAGAATAATTAATGCCATATTCACTGAGCATGTCATATCTAACTAGGATATAAGTTCCATGAAATCAGAGACTTTGTTTTTGCTCACTACTGTATATCCAGCACCTAGAACAGTGCCTGGTACATAGTAGATACCTAATAAGTAATTGTCAAATGGATGAACTACATTATTTGAAATGAACTAATAAATTCTAGGAATAAAAACACAAAAATGGCACAGCTCCTTCCCTCCAGAAGTTCACAGTTTGGGAAAGACAGACATGCACAAGTACTATAGCATAGGTAAATGAATGACTATGTTGTGAAGATCAACTGAGGTAATGTAATTCTGTACTATTCAAGTTATAAGTGATGATGGTACTTGTAGAGAACCAAAGAAAGAATGCAAGGAGTTCAGAAATGGGTCTAGTAACCCTTTAAAGAGTTTTCTACAGAGGTCTATAGTTAGTTTGATGTCGAGGCCATGATAATCCAGAGAATATTGTCTGTGTTTAGTAGGAGTGAGAATATGAAATGGGGCCAACACGTGCAATAATAGGAGAATGGGATTAGAAAGTGAACATGCGTACACATGTAGATATATGTTGCATACATAGATGCATGCACATACATACCTCCATGTGTAATGAGGAAGAAAGCAACAAATAGAAAACGATAGTGGAGAGATGGTAGTAATGAAAGAAAGGTAAGGAGGCATAGATGCAGCTATTCCTTTTAATATCATCCCTTAGCAGAACCCATTTCAGTTTGTTAGTACCCATATTAATAAAAGGATGAGAACTGGGAGTCAGGCTGGAGTAGAGAGTCAAAGGAGAAAAATGTGTTTAAACAAAAAATAGATCTCCTATAAATGATAGTTTATTTTATCGATTGCCTAATATATAACATCTTCAGTTATTTTGAGGTTTTTCATTTCTTTTTAAGACTAGAGGCCAGTCAACTAATTGTAAAGTCTTTGTAATTTAAGAGGTGGAAAATGCTTTTAAACCAATCTAAATTATTTTTAAATCATTGCATAATAGCAGAATTATGCTTAAAAGTCACCCACTAATAAATGAAAAATGGTTTTGTATGCTGTGAAAGGCAGTGTGGGTTTTGGTAATCATTTTTAGACTTCCTATTTTATAATCTCTTTTTTAAATGTGCATACTGATATCCTTATATGCTGCTTTTTCTATTTAAAGTACAAGTTTAAATTTGTATGTCTCTAAGACAGTTTTATAATGAAGGATCCAAAGGGTCTCTCTTAAAGATGGGTGAACCTTCTGACGTTGCTAGAAAAGTTCTGTATGTTATGCACATTTTTCTGGACTGAGACACATGTTCTTAAAGAGGATTCATGACCAAAGCAAGGCCCCTAAGGGAACAGCTTTTGTTCAAATAATGACCTGGCCCCTTAAAAAAGTCTTTCTGAAATCATAACAGAAATATCGTGAGTGTTTTACCATATGGTGTTTCTGTGCAGGTTCGATTTCCATCACACTTCAGTTCGGATCTCAAGGACCTTCTAAGGAACCTGCTGCAGGTGGATTTGACAAAGCGGTTTGGAAATCTAAAGAATGGTGTCAGCGATATAAAAACTCACAAGTGGTTTGCTACAACAGATTGGATTGCTATTTACCAGAGGAAGGTGAGCCTTTTCTCTCTTTGATTTAAAAGCTTTTTTAAAGTTGGTGTTTAAACAAAACAGAAAAAAACTCATGGATACAGAGAACATTTTGATGGTTGCCAAATAGAAGGGGTTGGGCAGGAGGATGGGTGAAAAGGGGGAAGGGATTAAGGAGTACAAATTTATAGTTCCAAAATAGTCACAGGGATGTAAAATACAGTATAGGGAATATAGTCAATAATATTGTAATAACTGTAATGGTGTCAGATGGGTGCTAGATTTATCATGGTGACTTTGTAAGTTATATAAATGTCTAATTGCTATGTTGTACACCTGAAACTACTATAATATTGTATGTCAACCGTAAATGAAAAATTAAAAAATTATCTTAAAAAATAAAAATACATTATATGTAGCAAAAATATTTTCAACTTAACACATAGTTTAATATTTTTTACCTTTTAAATCAATCCTATGCAAGACTTAAAGGACCTTTATACCCCACAACTTAAAAATATGTTTTCTCGCTGATAAAAGAGAAAGCATATATTCTGTTTTGACCATCAATATGAAATATTTTCCATGTTAAATTTTTCCTACTCATGCTTCTAACTCTTCACAATACCATGATAATTATATATTAGACAATGTCCTAAGGGTTTGCATTTCAAAACTGATGTGAAGCCACATTAGAAAGACAATATGTAAACAAATATAGTCTCCAACCCAGAATTCGCAAACAGCCAGATTTTGTAACATTTAATTGTTAGATTCATCAGATATTTTTCAGTCTTTATTACTTTACTTTTGTAATAAATTCAGACATTTAAGAAAAGATTCTGCTGTGCTGAATTACTTTTATCTCTTTTACTTCTTAATTACCCAGTTAAAGATAATTTGCAATTATAAAGTGTTTTCATCTTGAATATATTTAATTTTTTTTCATAAACCCAAAACTTCTAATGTTTCAGGCTTGCCATATTTAATTAATGCTGTGCAGCCACATGAGTGAATTCCCTTAGGAAAAAAAATGTAAATGCTCTAAGTATTAATAGCATAGGTTTTCTAATTTATATTTATATAAAAGATTATAAAAACAAAGCATTAAAAGAATTTCAAAATGCAGTAAATAAAAAATATAGCAAGACCAAAACAATGTGAGTGCAGCGTAGCCTCTGCATCTCATAAAAGGGGTTCAGAAACAAACTAACCATTAAATTCATAAAACATAGGTATTAGCATCACTATTTCAACTGGAGATGTTATATAGTCAGTAACAAGGTCCTTAGCAATTAAAAATAGATTTCAGATCTCATAAATAAACACTTCGTATTTTCATATTTTTTCTATTTTTATTTTATTTCATTTTTACTTATCTATTTTTATTATAGTCGACATACAATATTATATTAGTTTCAGATGTACAACATCTGATCCTACAGTAACATATCTTCCAATGTGATCATGACATCTAGTTTCATATTTTTTTCTGAATTTTCTGGCACCAGTACAGTACTTCGTAATTAATTAAAAGCAACTCTCTGTAACTTCTCATTTTAATCTTTGAAGTGAGAAAAATTTTATCATTTTCTCCATTTTACTACTAAAGAAAATCAGCTCAGAAAGGTTAACTACTTTAAATATAATCAGATAGCTGCTAAATAATACCTATGTTTGATTTTAAGTTCTTCAAATCTCTAATTCCAGGATCACATTACCCCTTTAAAGACCTTTTAATATTGTTATTAAAGTGAAGCTCTAAACCACTGAACAATACATTTTTCATAAATTTGTTATAGATTTTAACAATTATCTGCTTAACTTTTATGCTTTGAGCATTTTTGAAGTAGGAAGACTTTCTCAAAAGGCAGCAAAGAAAGAGCATGAACTCCAGTTAGGTAGACATTGATCTGAATCCTAGATTAGTCAACATTAGCAATGTGATATTGACCAAAATATTTAAAGTTTGTAAAGCATCAGTTTTCTCATTCTTAAAATTTGGATCAAGGTAGAGAATGCAAAAGGAAGAGTAGTTTGGGGAGAAAGTTTAAATGGATTAGTCTAGGCTCTATTTTTCTTTCTGGTTGAGGTATGTTCATAGCAGCATAATTCACAGTGGCCAGGACATGTGAGTGCAGCGTAGCCTCTGCATCTCACAAAAGGGGTTCAGAAACAAACTAACCATTAAATTCATAAAACATAGGTATTATAATTATAATCAGGTAATTTGTTGAGTAAGTAAATTTGAAATCATCATAACCCCACCATCCAGGTAGCACCTCTAGTAACATTTGGCACATTCATTCTTTTTTTCTATGCTCTGCATCACTACAGTCCATTCCCATGACTTCAGTTACCACCTAGGATCTATTGCTCCAACCCTGCACTTTCTCCTTAGCTTCAGACTGTTAATATCACAATTACGACCTACTACACAATTCCATTTCGTTGACTTATTTAATCTATGCTTTCTTTGAGGACTTTTTGATCTAACTTCTTTTTGTTATTATTGTTTAATAATTAGCCACTTACCCTCTCAGCATTTGTTGAATACTCTTTAGTTGACCTCGTATTTGAAATTCTACCTTTACTAATACTAAATTATATACTTCATAATTAACATGTTATGTTTCTACATTTATTCAAATATTTTCTCCCATTCAGTAAAGTTTTAGAGACACCTCTCCCGTACAATTTCAATTTTTGCTTAAAGTTATTCCTTAAATTTGTCTTTTGGGTGCTATTATAAATGTATTTGCTTTCCCATTAGAGTAGAATATAGGGGAATACGTATGATTTCTATGTTTATGTTGTAATTGGCTACCTTACTAATTCTGTTATTGATTTCCATAGATTTTTCATTGATTCCCTTGGATTTTATTGACAAATTTCTATTTTGTTTTATTATCTATACTAGAATGTCTAGAATAATGTTTTAAAATAGCAGGGCTGTTGAGCTTCTTGTCTTGTTCCTGTTTCGAATGGGAATACCTTTCCTGTTTTATCATTAAATATGAAGTATTCTTGATCAGGTTAAGGAAATATCTTTGATTCCTAGTATACAGTTTATGTTTTCTTTGACATGTTACTTTGGAGAAGTATATTGGTGAGATATCCTTATATTCCTGAAGTGAATACCATTTAATCATGGAGTATTATTATTTTAGTGTCAGCCTGAAACCAATTTGCTAAAATTTTATTTAGAATTTTTCACTTCCATAGTCATAAATTTTATTTTATGACTTGTAGGTTTTGTTTTTTGGTAGTTGATTATATGGATTCATAAAACAAGTTTGGAACTTTTCCATGTTTTTTATTATTTAGGATATTTAAGAAACATAGGAATTATCTTTTATTTATTCCTTGGAAGTTTTAACAAACTAAGTCTTTGGATATTGGTCTCTTCAAGGTTTTGCCTCTTCTTGAGTCAATTTTAGAAATGTATATTTTCCTATAAAATCATCCATATACCTTTGTAATTATCACTGTTTATATTATCTTTATCGTCATATTTATATTTAATTAATGCTACATTTAGATGTATTTATTAGATTTGCTTAAGGTTTGTCCATTTTATTAATTGAAAGATCTGTGATACATTTTGAATCTTTTCATATATTTAGAAATAAAAATTTCTGCTGTTACTTAGCAAACATTTAGTAATCTATGCAACATCATGTATTGTATTTTTAACATTTACCTTTAAAAGGGTTTAGAACTGAACTGATACTGCTCGTTTGATACTGCTCCTAGGGCTTGACTTATCCTAGGAGCAAATAGCTTGTCTGCCAAAAAGTAGCACACTATAACAACCAGGTTATAGTATTAGGCAAATTGATCAACAGCAAATCTTGCTTATCAATAGAAATGGACTTGGAGATCCCAGGATAATTTACAAGTAGAAATAATTTAGTGCTTTAACATACCCATTTGTTTTAATACTGTCTCAATTATAACTATGTGCAGCATTGTAAAAATAATAGTAAATTTGAATAGTTTCAGTCTTTATTAACTCTCTGACACTCATGAACAGTGAAGTAGCCAAAGGCATCTAGCAGAAAGACAGGAAACAAGAAAGTAGCCTGGACAGCTCTAACTGGACAATCGCTCTCTAGAGATGATTGTACCAATAGGTGTGATCCTAAATTGCTTCCTGACTTGAGATGAGGTGACTGTCTCCTTAAATCATTATTCTTCATGGTGCAAACAGCATCTGCTCCCCAAAACAGGGTATGCAAGGCAACCAGCTGGCAAACAAAAAGATATTAGACTTTACATTCCTATTTATTTGTTACCTTATTCCTTTTAAATGTCTTGTTTGTATGTATAACTTAGAATAGTGTAGTCATGCATATAAGTAAATAAATATACATGTATTGGTGGTATATACTCAATGTTTTATTAAAATCATATAAATCAAAATACTTTGGAGACCACTTGTATAGATATTAGAAAACTCCGGAACAGTAGTAAAGAATCATGAATTTGAGACCTGCTTTAGCCACTTATTAGTCAATTTTCTGTTTTATAATCTGCAAAATGGGAATAAGGATACCTACCCTACCTCTCTCACAGTGTTGTATTGGGGAAGAAAAGTAATAGTGGTGTGTATAATTATTTGTAAACACTATAAATGCTGTGTAAATTGTCATATTATTTTTTCAGCATTGAAAATCTTTTTCTCAAATATATTCAGTACAACACATTAATCTTTATAAAGACTGTCTTTTAAGTAATGGGAAGACATTTTATTTTTAGAATCCAAGGAGAAAAATGTTCAGAATTTAACAATTCTATAATTCTAAAAGAGATATGTTTTTTTCCAACTACCCAGAAAGTTTGGATAGCCAGATATTGTAAACAAAATATACCTGGGAATTTAAAAAGGCGGGGGATTAAAAGTAAGTCTGAGTTACCTGTAACCTTGGGAGAAAAGGAATTAAGAAAAAAGAGATAGAAAAATAAAGGTTTTAGAAATAAGAAATCAATTAAGAAAAACTTCAGTGCCAGCATTTTGATGCCAACAGTTAATTACCTTAGAAATCTCTCAAGTATTGTGTTGGCCTGTACTATTCCTTGAATGAAAATGTTGAGATGAATAGCAAAACCTACTATTTGCTGCTTTTTCTAATGCTGTTATCATTTAGGGATTTAAAGACATTTAAAGATACCACTGAGTGGTCATAGTGAGAATTTATTTTCCTTCCCGTTTGGAAGGAAACTCTCAGGCATTTGTTGTTCCTCTTATTCCAATATGTGTGTTTTTTTCCCACACCACCAAACAATTAACTCAATTCTTACATTATCAACCTGGAGATCTTGTCAGATCCCACAGGTTAAGGGCTCAGCACTACATAACAAAAGACACCTTTGCCACTCTCTACATTTAGGAAATTCCAAGAGTTTTTAGGAACTCTGTGCCACAAACCTGAATGAAGGCCAAATATATTTCTTGTTATAAATCACAATATCACACTATTTTTCTCTGTATCTCAATTATAGGTTGAAGCTCCATTCATACCAAAGTTTAGAGGCTCTGGGGATACCAGCAACTTTGATGACTATGAAGAGGAAGATATCCGTGTCTCTATAACAGAAAAATGTGCAAAAGAATTTAGTGAATTTTAAAGATGAGCAATGAGATGACATCAGAGCTCATGCTCAGTCTTTGCACTCTCTTGAGAGATAAGGTGGAGCTGAGACCGTCCTTGTCGAAGCAGTTACCTAGTTTCTTCATTGCAGCGACTGAGTGAGGTCTTTATTGCCATCATCTGTGTGTGCACTCTGCGTCCACCTATGTAACAAGGCACCACTTAAGCAAGCATTGTCTGTGCCATAACACAGAACTAGACACTTTCCTGCTTCTCTTTGGTTTCCTTCTCTCCTCTTACATCTGTTTCTTCTTTTTTCATTTTTATTATTTTTTTCCATACAGTGCTCCATTTTATTTTGTTGTTGTTTCAAATGGGCAGTGTTATGGCGATGTGATATTCGAAGGGAAGGATAAGTACTGCTTTTAGTAGTTCTTGCCAATATTTTTGTTGGTCAGTGACTCAAAGATATACTTTCTAATCATTATTTTTACTTGGAGTAGCTCAGACTCAGTGTTGTCAGAACTCTTGACAATTTTGAGGATAGAATGTTTTATCACCAAGGAAATGTACACACATTTAAACAATAACTTTCTTAGAACTCACTGTTCTAGCAATAAATTTGGACAGACTAATAAGAGTTGTTAAACCTAGAAATTTGGATTCCTATAGATCAGAGGTCTATTTCCCTTCACCTCTTTTTATATCATCCTCCCCTTGAGCAATTCAGTGACCAACCTGTGCAGTGTGACAAATGCGTCTCATTCACAGGAAAAAACTAATGATATGGATTATCATCACCCAGATTCTCTCACTTGGTACCAGCATTTCTGTAGGTATTACAGAAGAGTTAGTTCTAAGATTTCTAAACCTCAACTCTTCCATAACGGTTTTAACCAGTATTTTAATAGAACATGACTAATGAAAGTGACAAATTTTTAAGTTTCTCAAGTAAGTCCTCACTATAAATTTTTTAAAGGAAAAGAAACTAACTAAAAAGAATATTAATGTGGATAAGTACTTTGCTAAATCAAATGGCTTGATTCTTGTAAACAGTGTAAACAAACTCTTACTTCAATGAGGTTTTTTGTTTGTTTTGCTTTGCTTTGCTTTGTCACAGTTAAGAACCAAGGAAGTTGTTGCCAAGGTTGTTATTCTGGTGTATTATATTTGTCAGCCTGGGATAGAGGCACTGTGCAACTTTGGTTTTCATCCTATGCCTCATCAATGAAGAGGGACAAACTTTATAAAACCGCCACAATTGTATTTTAATTTTGAGGTGTGATATTTTTAGATATGTAATAATTTCTAGCCTCTTTCGGTAAACAGAATGTGTGATAATGCAGATACAATTTTAGTATTGAAGTTTAGTTTTTTAATATACTTTTTTGCCAACTGACTTAACAACATTGTGGTCATGTGGAAATTTCAAGCACTTTTGCACATTTAGTTTTGTGTTTGTTGAGAATCCATGACTTAACTCAGTTTTTTAAATATTTTTTTTCTTTGCTTTTAAATCTTCCCATCTTGTTTTATCTGTGTGTCAGTGACCTGTCCTAAAACCACACATCAAAATAGTTGAAAATAAACTGTGTTCATTTTTTATCATCAAATTACATGCATATGAGTTGTTTTTACTCAATCTGATATTAATGTATGTAAGCATTCTATTTGCTTCATTATAAGTATGTCAGGTAGGTCACCGACTACTTTTCATCTCTACCACACCCTTGCAAAACCTTTGAAGACATTGAGAAAGCCCGTCTGAGATGTTCTCTGCATCAGTCTGTATGTCTTTCGGTTGTCAAGTGTTTCTGCATGTTTATGTCATTGACAAGCTGATACTGATTTCAGCTTTTGGTCCACCTATATTTAAAATGTGCAAGACAAGTATGAACTACTTTGCTGTAGCAAGTTTGATGAAACAAAAATATATCATCATGTTAATAAATTTAAAACGTCATTTATATAAAATATTTTAATTAGTTTTTTTATTTCATTTAGAACCCAAGAAATGCTGATCATTGTATTCTATATGTATGCTACAAATTCTATGGTAGCCTTGCTGTATATTACTGTAAAATTATTTTAATAAATCTTGGGGATGACAATTTGATTATTACATTTTAGTTTTCAGTAATTAAAAAGATTTCTATAAATTCTAATTTTTTTAAAATGAAATTACTACTGTCCAGTACAACTTGTTATAGAATCTATCCAGGTAGATGATCTGTAGGCAGTACATTGGTTTTGAGGGCTATTTAGCTATTCCATTTTATTCCCTATGTAAAGAACATGAACAAGCTTTTAAATATATTGAGGTAGTCTATTTCCAACCAATGAAGTACACTGAATTAGAGTATCTGAAAATTATACAAAATTCTGTTTCTGCCACAGTTTAGCCAAAAACAATATAAAAACTCGAATAAGAAATAAGTGGCACAAATCAGTATTTAACCTCAGATTATTTTATTTGAAACAGAAGAAATTATGTTTTTATTCAGTAAATAACGAGATGGCTTGTAGAAGAAGGAGCCCTAGACCAAGTTTCAGGCCTAATCTGTCACTATTAGCATGACCTTGGCCTCAGTTCTCTTATCCATGAAATGGAAGAGTTCCATTAGGCAGTTTCTAAGGTCCCTTCTAACTTTCACATGCTAAGATTCTTTATATTTGACATTTTGAAGGGATAATATGCTTTGAAGTAAATTTTGTTAAGGTGATATTTTAGGGCATCTTTCTTATCTCTTATGGTGTTCTTAAAATTCTTTGAATATCATGAGAACCTCGTGTCTGTTATGATTCCTTCCTCCTTCACTGATGCTAAATATCCAATTGATATCAAACTGTCAACCTACCAAAAAAAAAGATATTGTGGCTTGTGGGTATTGCTGTCATGTTTTTTGATAAGTTCTTGTATCAACTGCCCATTGGCCTGAAAATACTCATTGTAAGCCTGAAAAAAAAAAATCATTTTTCTTTCCCACTGACTGTTTTTTCTGCTTATTGTAAAAATCAAATGAAATAATGTATGTGAAAACACCTTGTAACCTGTAACCTATCAATGTAAAATGTTAAGGTGTATTGTTATTTCATTAATTACTTCTTTGTTTAGAATGGACTTTCCTATGCACTGCGGTAGCTAGGAAATGCTGAAAACAGCTGTGTTTTTTAAATAATCAATAACTGTAAAATTAAAGTATCTTCACAGGATAAAACAATTTATTGAGTCCTGAATTCTCTTTGGTTCCCTTCTCTTCTGATTTGTTTTCTGCAGATACTACAGATATTTATAGGTTCCTAGTTTCTCTCTGTTTGAGTTGATCTTTTGGTGATGGGAACAGGGAAATGGGAAGGAATGTCCACCAGTCTGTTCCAACTGTTTACTAAGAAACTACTAGATTCATTTTATAGTTTCTAAAGTGTTTCTACTTCTTCCTCATGCTGTTAATTTAAACTGTTCCTAACATAACGTTGAAAATATTCATCTTTAAAGGATTGACACTGCAAGAGCCTTCATCCATATATTATAACAATGAACTGTGAATCTACGCTTTTTTCTCTAGAAGTGCTTTCAGCTTCATATTACCTCTTTCAGTTTTAGCCAGGTTGATTAGTGTATGTTCACATAATTGTCCTTGACCTCGAGAAATAATTTTTAGTAATTATTTTAATAGCTTATTTTTCATTGCTATAATTTTTACTGCAAACATTTGTAAATATTGATGCATTTTAAAACATGGTGCTTACTATTTTTATACCAGTGCTTTCTTATTTTATCATTGTTAGTGCTTAATATAAATTCCAGTTTGCTCATTTCTTTATACAACTAATTATAAAAATCTGGGCATATCTTTACTCCACAACTATCATCATTTGAAATCTAGTTAATTTTTTCTTATGTACAAATGTCGAATATGAAGTTAAATATTTTCATTTTAGCTTTCCTGAATATTTTCTATATGCCTTATTTAATAGCCTTTGTGTCCTTTGATAAGGGCTGAGTTGTGTCCCACCAAAATTCATATGTTGAAGTCCTGACCCCCAGTATCTCACAATATGACTGAATTTGAAGGTAGGGACTTTAAAGAGATTATAAGATAAAATGAGGTCATGTCAATGGACCCTAATCCAATATGACTGGTGTCCTTACAAGAAGAGGAGATTAGGATGTAGAGAATACACAGACTGAGGGAAGGCCATGTGAAAACCTAAGAAGAAGATGGCCATCTACAAGCCAAGGAAGAAGGCCTCAAAAGAAGCCAATCCCGATGACACCTTGATCTTGGACTTCTAGCCTCCAGAACTGTGAGAAAATAAATTTCTATTGTTTAAGCCACCTGGTGGTACTTCGTTATGGCAGCCCTAACAAACCAGTACACCCACCGATTGTATTCCCACAGTGTACACTGTATTCCCATGGTGAACAGTATTGATTCTTCCTTCAAATGCTTTATACTTAGCCAAAACTGAACTAATTTACCATAAGCAAAATTTTTTTAAAAATGGATGTCAGTTGGTCGCAAACCTCAGTGCACTTGCTATTTTGTTTCTATTGGAATATAAGCAGGAAACAGGAAACCGTCATTACTGAGAGTAGTGGAAAGCATAGGTAACTGAAATCACTCCTAACTCCCGGTCAGACTTACCCTTTGCATCGAAGCAGTGCTAATACAACATAAAGTTGAACACACCATACCCGTTTAGAGTCTCTGCCCATTTCTTAATGGTGATGTTAATGAGGCAGCCAAAAGAAAAGTGGAAATAGGGATAAAGAGTCAATGACAAAACTCCACTTGGTTTATCATCTGATTACTCAAGTGTTAATAATGCTCACAGAAAATGATTACCTTAATGTGTTAATTTTCTATCACTATTGTACCAAATTACCACAAACTTGGTGGCTGAAAACAACACCAATGTATTATAGCTCTGGAAGTCTGACATCTGAAGTGAGTCATACTGGCTTAAAATCAAGGCATCATCAGGGCTACATTCCTTTCTAGAGACTCTAAGGGAGAATCTGTTTCCTTGCTTTTTCCAGGTTGTAGAGTCTGCTCACTTTCCTTGACTCACGACCCATTTCTCCATCTTAAAAACCAGCAACATCAGATGAGTCCTCATATCACATCCCTCTGACCTCCTCTTCTGTCTCCCTCTTCCACTTTTAAAGACCCTTGTAAATTGAGCCCACCTGGGTAATCCAAAATACTCTCCTCATTTTAAGATCAATTGATGAGCAACCTTAATTCCACCTGCAACCTTAATTCCTCACTTGCCATTAAACCTTACACTTTCAAAGTTTCTGGGGATTCAGACATGGACATCCCACGGGGAGACATTATTCAGACTATTACACTTTATAACATCATTTTAGGTGGGAAATATGATTATCTGAATGATGGGAATAGAGACAGCTTTTCATAATCCACAGAGAACAAAAGCTTAAACATTTTCCTGAAGCATGGTGGTTAGCATGCAGTGAGTATTCGAGTACATTTTCACAAAACTTAATTGAGTAGCAATATCCATTCTGTGTACTTGAAAGATACTCAACATCACTATTCATCAGCAAATTGCAAATTAAAACTGTCATTAGGTACCACTACACACCAACAGAATGACTAAAATTAAGAACACTGATAATATCAAGTGCTAGGATGCAGAGCAACTGGAACTGTCATGCATTGCCTGTGAGAATATAAAATGGCACAACCACTTTGGAAAACATTTTAGCAGTTTGTTATAAAGTTAATAATTCACGTATCATATGACTAGCTATTTTACTTCTAGATGTTTACCCAAGATAATGAAAACATATGTCCACACAGACATAAATGTTTACAGCACCATTATAACAGTCCCAAACTGAAAACAATCCAAATGTCCTGCAACAGGTGAATGAATCAACAAATGGTGGTATTTCCATACAATAGAATAAAGCACCAATAAAAAGAAACAGGCTAATAATACAAGCAGCAACATGAAGGCATCTAAAATGCATTTTAGTTGTATACATTTGTCAAAACTATTGAACTATATACCTAAAATGAATATATTATGCCTTAGTAAAAATGATTTTTAAAAAACAATTATGAAAAAAATAATTTTTAGAATAAATTTAATTATAGTGATATGGAAGATATGGTCTAGAAAAACTCAGAATTAATATGCAAAAGATGGAGATAGAAAAATATGAAAGGTAAGTTAAGAAATGGGAAGTTAGCTTCAGGAGACATGAAAATTGTCTAAAAGTTCTAAAAGAAAGAGACAGAAACATGAAAAAGTAATGTCTTCAAAGTTCTAAATGATTGTTTTACTTAGAATTATATACTGAGGCAAATTATTGTTTCATTGTAAAGGGGGGACTAGTTCCCAGTACCCTAAGCCTCTGCCATCAAATAGGCATGGGGCAACGGAAAGTGATGGTAAAAACTGGAAGGAGAAAGGTATAACTAGAGTATTTCTCTCCCTGTGCCTGTGATCTGTACCATCTCCTGAGTCTTCTCCACTGTCTCAACTCCTGGGCACTGTCATGGTTCCATGTTCCATGCCCTACCTCTTGAGCGCCTCCTTTTCCGCTCCTAGGCTGATAGAGCTCCCTGCTGTTGTTCATCTTTCAATTTCTTCACCATCTAATACTTGTCTTTATTTTAGGTTGGTTTTATAAACTTAGTAATAATGTGACTGGTACTTATTTTTGTTATACAGGGTACAGCTGTTTCACTATTCATCACCTAGGTAACCGATTTTTTCTATTAAACTCCTCCGTTGAAATACCTAGAATGGTAGTTACTTTTCTGACTAGACCCTGATTAATGTTCCCATTATCAGCACTCCTATTCTACATTCCACCCAAAGACTCCAGCCATCACAGTAAGAAAAGAAAGAACAAAGGTGATCCTGGTCATCATTGTAAGAGAAGAAACAACAATGGTAAAATAAAGACCATTCCAAATAAAATAAATTGTGAAAGTTTTCTACTAACTGATACTCAAGAGGAACTTCTAAAAATTCATTTTAAGAAGAAAGAATATGGTCCCAGAAAAGAAATAGCTTCTGGGAAGTCTGAAGGAAAGAAAAAAGAGAAAACACTAAAATAAACATCATTAGGAATAAGAAATGAGACACAGAAGAGCTTTAAAAATTAGAATTCTGGTCAGGCTGGAATATTAAAGACACACAAACCTTTTTCTTCTCCCACCCTTCCTCCCAAACTCATAGAAATGACAGAATATATTTTCAAATATCTTTAAGGATGTAGATTGCACTCAAAACAAAACATCTCCACAGACCAGAAACAGAACGGAAATATACAGTGGTAAGTGGGGGTTGAAGCCACAGACTTACTAACACAGTAAAAAGTTATTTGTTACAATGAGATAATTACAGTGCATGCAGAAGAAAAAGATAGAAATATTAAAGAAAATTCAGAAATGGTAATGGATATTGAAAACAAAGGTGATCCTCTACTGTCATCCTGAATTAAGAAAACACTTAATTTATATATTGAAAGAATATACCATTTTTCAGAAAAAATTGACATAGAGCTTTTGACACCAAACCATATCCTGGTGAATGTTTTACTTCAACAATTAAAACTTTATGCATAAGTGACTATGTACCTATCGGTAATCACTTTAAATGGAAATGGATTAAATGCTCCAATCAAAAGACAGGGTAGCAGAATGGATAAGAAACAAGACCCATGCATATGCTGTCTACAAAAGATCCACTTCAGATCAAATGACTGACACAGACGGAAAGTAAAGGGATGGAAAAAGATATTTCACGCAAATGGAAATGGAAAAAAAAAAAAAAAAAGCCCAGATAGTGATACTTATATCAGATAAAATAGACTTTAAAACAAAGGCTGTAGTAAGAGACAAAGAAGGACATTACGTAATGATAAAGGGATCAATAAATCAAGAGGACAAAAACCTAGTAAACATATATACACCCAACATAGGAGCACCTACAAACATAATTGCTTTGTAGGTCCTCCTATGTTGGGTGTATATATGTTTACTAGGACAAAAACCTAGTAAACATATATACACCCAACATAGGAGCACCTACAAAGCAATTATTGACTGACATATAAGGAGAGATCAACAGTAATACACTCATAGTAGGAGACTTTAACATCCCACTGACACCAATGGATAGACCTTCCAGACAAAAAATCAACAAGGAAACAGTGAGCCTAAAAGACACACTA